AGGCCACATGTTCCCCACCCCTGGTTCAGACACTTCACCTCTTAATGAACCAAGCAACTCTCAAAGACTAAACACTGCAACACAGCTGATAATCTGCACTGGGAGAAGGAGTTCCCTCACCAAGAGTTACTCATAGTGATAAAAATCACAGGTCAAAATAAATACACTAATAGACTTTAACAGTGAAAAGCATTTCTGTGTCTCTTTTTTCTTATCTGAAAAAGGGGGAGGAGTTGGACTAGATGGTCTCTAAGGCCCCTTCTGGCTCCAACATCCCATGTTTGCACAGTGGGGTCAGGGGTAAAGTTGACTAGAGAGATGGTCAAAACAGTAGATGCCATCATGACCAGTAAGGGATAGAGGGAATGTTCCTTACCCTCCCAATCTCCAGCCCCACATGTATACCTATAACTTCCCAGGTTAGTAACAGTGGAGAAAAGGTTAAGAAATGCTACCCCAATATGATTACAGGGAAGCAAATTTAAATTCCTACCCAGTGGTGCCACCAGCTTGTCAGAACCACAGATCTCTTTCTGCTGCTCTCCCAATAGCATCCATTCCTCCTGAAGCAAATACACTGTGATGTCATCGAATGTCACCAGCATCTAGGAACAAAAACCATGAACTTCAGCATCTCTGACCTCCCTAAGCCCTTCCCTTCTGTTCTATGCCACTTACCCTCCATGATGCCCTATTAGTTACTGTCTAGCCCCCTGCCCTTGGCCCCAGCCTGGGCCATATCCTTTCAAATATTCTCAGTGGCAGCAAATTGACTCGTGAGGATGGGTATAATTTTTGGAAGCTATCTGCAGTCATTCAGTACCACAATTGTTGAATAAAGTAGGTGTTCAAGCTGATTAAGTGACAATATTGTTTATAAGTAAGATATGACTACAGAGGGAAAAAAAACAATTTTGTGTGGGTGGCCCATAAAATGTGGTTCTGAAGGATATACAAAAGAAATTCCAAAAATATTTTGATCAAAGGAAGTATTATTAGGATAAGTGCATAACTTCCCAGGTGGATGATCACGGAAGGTAACATTTACTTGGATATATAAGTTCCAGTATATTAAAAATCAGTTTGTTTACTTCATACTTCATGAATATGAGTATCCAGCTATATCAGAGATGTGTTTATTTGCTTTGCAGGCTCTGAGGGGCCGGTAAACTGGTCTTTTCTCTATTCTATCCCCTTCACACAAATGTACAAAACACAAGAGCAAGCCCTTTAACAGAGGCTTAAGAAAGAGCAATATTGTCTCCTCATCTCCACTCTATCCTGCAGAACAACATCTGCAGATCAAACTCCCTAAATCTAGTACCCACTTTCATTGTGCTGCTCTACTGCTCAGGAACCTTTAATGGAAGGAAGAATGACAGCACTGATCAGAATAAGAATCTGAAACTACAGCTTAGGACACAGAAAGTGGGAACATAATAAGCAGTCAAAATGGACAAATCCACAAAAGGAACAGTGGAGAAAGGAAAAGGGTTTAGCAGAAAACATCGTTTGTATACAAGCAACCAATGCAACCAAATTCTCTTCCAGGAGAGCAGCAATACTGAAACGCCAGAGTTTGTAGATGAAGTAATGGGATAATTTGTATAACTTAGAAAAGACAACCAAACTAATATGTTGACCTATTCAACATCCACTTGTTGAACTCCTACTATGCGTCAGTCACTGTGCTAATTGTGGTGAGGGATGGAAGCATTTAAAAAAAAAAAAAGAGTACTAATGGCCACACGGACTTTACATCCTATACCTAAACATTTTCAGCAACCACACAATCCAATTTGTAGCCAAAACAACTGCTTTGTATATGCCACAGCAATTAACATTATTGGGTTGGAACTGACTTACAAGAGAAAACTGGACAGCTTAAAAAGAAACAGACCTCACATTAAGGTCAGAGAATTAGGATGCTGAACAAAGAAATAATTCTCCATGTTTCTGAAGATCAGAGGAACAGACATCAGGAAATAATACAGAAAATCTGATATCAAACTACCTAATCCTGCTGCATACTATCCGTATGACCCTAGACCTCTGGAGGCCTCAGTTTCCCCATCTGTAAATTAAATTAATAATAACAGTTAAGCATTTATATAGCACTTTATTGTTAGCAAAGTTCTTTCCATATGCTACCCCGTTTGATCCTCACAACAACCCTGTAGGGCAGGTGCTATTGTTATCTTCATTTTATAGATGATAAAACTGAGGCAGACAGAGATTGAGTGACTTGCCCAGGGTCGCCCAGCTAGTTAGTAATCTGAGGCAGCATTTGAACTCAGGTCTTCCTGACTCCACTGCACCACCCCAGCTGCCTCTAAGGTAAATGACCTCTGAAGTCCATTCGGGCTCTAAAGCCTATGTTCCTACTTTGTACAAATCTTACAACCAAAAGAAAGGAAAAACCTAATAACCACAAATACACACAAAGGGCATGATGTATGTGGATGTATATACACATATACACATCATGAGAACCTCATGAACTTAACTTAGCATACACATATACATATATACACATACAATGCATCTCCGTGACGTTAGAGACAAAATACAATTTCACAGGATTTGGAAGGGATTTGGAGGGGCCTCAGAAGTCATCCAGTCTAATCTACTCATTTTTAGAGATGGAGGAACTGAGGTTTAACACTCGGCCTGAAGTGACTTACCCCAAATCTCACAGGTAATAAATACAAGTGTCAAGATTTGAACCCAGAGCCTCTGACTCCAAATTCAGTGCTCTAGTTTCTACCAAAATGCAGCTGCTGCTACTACAATTAAGGTATAATATATCTGCATGGTACTTTAGAGTTTACAAAGTATCTCATCTCATTTGATCCTCATGACACTGTGTGAAAGGCAAGGTAAGGAAACTGATGGTCACAGAATGTAATTTAGCTAAGGTCATAGAGCAAAGGAATAACACAACCAGAAGAACCCTAATTGAATTCCATTTCCACTCTATCAGCC